CTCCAGGGCTTCCCGTAGTTTCTCCTTCATGTTGTCTTTGAAGGTGTCAAGGCAGACTTTCAGCTTGGAACCCATCTGGATCCTGTTGGGGTAATAAGTTCATTGAGTTAAAAAAGATAAAGGTGCAGCATCATCCACCATCTCCCCACCCCGATGGGGCCGGGAGCCAAGGGGAAGCCACAGGAATGCAGGGTGGGACAAAGCAAGCAGAGCAGCACGGTTTCCATGGTCCTAGAAAGGGAAAACTGCCTTTAGACAGTCCAGACTGAGAATGTGGACTTCGGTATTAATTTTCCTTTGAAAAGAAGAAAATGCTGCACACAAGCACTTGTCCCTTTCTAAAGCCTGAAGATACAAATGCTACCCTTTGATACGAGTTCTCTTAGTCCTGTAGTAACGACGTGAGCAGGTGTCCTCCAGGACACAGAGCTTGGGATGAGGTTCACATCCTGCTGGGTGGTTGTGGTCTGAAGTTCGGCCACCTGAACAGACCACGAGAAGCCGCTGGGCATGGCAGGAGAAAGTGCTGAACATGACGCCTATGACATCTTCAAGGAGATCAGGTTGCGTAGGCAGAGAGAAAGGGGGAGGAAGGTGCTGATCAAGTGCAAGGTCGACTCAACACACTTGTCTGGCCAAGCCCTGTGCCTGAGCACCACAGTCCATCCCACCTTCACACTTAATCCTCCTCCTAACTTCCCTCCGTGCCACCTCACTCCATCCTCTCTGGTTGTGCTCCCCTCAATATGGACAATTTGTGAGCAAACACCAAGCAGGAGTGGCCACACTGGGCTACTCCTGTCAATCTCTTTGGCTTTGGCTACAAGCCAAAGCAATTTTCTGTGAGGTAATGGGAAAGCAAAGTGTGGCGGTCACACACGGAGTCATGCCCCAAAGCTGCAAATGATGCCTGGAGAAAAGCTGACCAGCAGGTTCATGATGCCGTAGGTTGTCGAGGAAGGCTGTGAGGTCCTCAGGACTGGAGGTTGGACCAAAGCCCATCAGAAACAGGACGGACCCCCCATCCTGCCGCAGGGCAGAAGATGAGCTGTGGCACCTCGAGGCCCCTTTCTGCACCCTTTGACTTTGCATAGGGAAGGAGGTCTCTCACCTGAATATGTTTCCAAAACTCATGTCAATGCTGTCATAGATGGGCTGAGCCAGGGAGCGGTTGATGTCTATCCGGCCAAAAATCTTGGACATGTACACCCCACTGTTCAGGCACACAGCTTTCAGCGTCTTGTGAAAACCCCGGTTATCACGGACTTGCTGCAGAATGGGAAACAGAGGAGTGCAGGAGAAGACCTTCCACCCTGGGAGGCATTTTCCCATCCAACTACTGCACCTTGAGCCTCAGGCAGCAGCCGAGTGGGGCTATGGAGGAGCTACTGCTGGGACAAGAGCATTTCAGTGCCCTCCATGGCCCTGCATGACAGATCTTAGCAACCCATCCAAGGTCACTGGTGTACTGATGTGCCCCATCTCCTGTGCCAGCCCTCTCTCCACCCAACCAGGACTGGAGACTCAGCTGGCTGGGTTTAGGACACCGATGCCACCCAGCCCAGGGGAGACTCTCAGGGGAAACAGCCCAGGGACAACTCCCACCTCGCAGATTTTCAAAATTCTCTGGATTTTCAAAATTTCCTAACACATAGCATCAGCAGACCTCCCAAGAGTCTTCTCCAAACTAAATTATTCTAAGGTTCCAATTAAACTGCTTTATACTCACCTTCAGGATCTTCTTGATACTTTCATTACATAACCTCTTTGCTTCAGCTACACCTTCATGGAGTGGCTGTTCAAGCTCTTCAAAATATTTCTCGATATCTTCACCAAGGCAAATGAACTTCTCTATGAAATCTTGCAAGAGAATTCTCTTCACAGGCAGGTGCTGGACAACAGGGAGAAAACAATGAGTGAACACCTCATGCTGGATGCACCAGTGCAACCAGTGCTGCCCCTGCTCCACCACCACTTCCCCCGGTCTGGGGACCTCTCTCGTAAACATCTCCAAGAAAATGGTGCCCCTGTGTCACCAGGAACCGGAGAACAGCCTGGGGTGGTTCTAGTTGACGAAGCTGTAGGAGATGCCGCCAAGCTAAGACGAGCATGGCTGCTCAGGGCAGCCCTGCCTGGGTGCATTTGTCAGCCCAACACAAGATCTTTTGCCAGCGGTTCGCACGTGTCTCGTGCTAGAAACACGCAACACAAGTTTCTGCTCAAGGGAGAAAAGCCTGACTGGAGCCACAACCACCCGCCCAGCAATCACATCGAGTGGCATTCTCTGAAGCTGTTCTGGACAAACCTGTGCATCCTGCTGGGACTGGATACTCTGGATCAGTGAGAAAATGACCCACAGCTCTTCCACGTTATCCATCAGCACATTCCTCTTCTGTGCTTCATAAAGTTTCTGGATGTATTCCCTCAGCTTTGGGACTTCTAGAACAGTGCAAGCAAGGCTGAGTTTTCAATCAGATATGAGGAAAAAAGGTTTAGGTTGGGTGTCGGGAGCAATTTCTTCCCCAACAGGGCTGTCAAGCTCTGGAACAGGATGTCCAGGGCAATGGTGGAGTTCCCATGCCTGGGAGGACTGAAGAGGTGTGTAGATGTGGTGCTCAGGGACATGAGTTCCAATGGTGGCCCTGGCAGGGCTGGGTTAACGGTTGGACTCGATAATTTTCAAGGTCTTTTCCAAACTAAACAGTTCTCTAATGCTATGAGTTAGCAGTGTGAGAGGGCAACTCACCTCTCACAGACCCAAAGGAAAATTGTACCTGCAGAACATCTGGGACATCAGCCTTCCAAAAAGTGGTGGCCTGAGATGGCTCATGGGAGATCCTGAATCTCCACAAGGGCTTTATGGACTCATCTGCTGCCACACCAGCTGCCTGGTCTGGCTCAGCACAAGGGGTAATGGTTTCAAACTGAAAGATGTGGAGATTTAGAGTAGATGTAAGGAAGAAATTCTTCAATGTGAGGGTGGTGAGGCACTGGCACAGGTTGCCCAGGAGAGCTGTGGCAGCCTCCTCCCTGGAAGTGTTCAAGGCCAGGTTGAACAAGGCTTTGAGCAACATCTTCTAGTGGGAGGTGGAACGAGACAACCTTCCAGCCCACACCATTCTCTGGTTCTGGGCTATTATTTGGCACAGTGACATATTTTTATGTAAACCCTGGAATGCTCCTGGACACACTGAACAATCCTGAAACTGGGGAAACGAAAAGGTCTCACTATGTTGTCTCTTCTGAAGAACCACTGAGGGGGTGCAAGGTCTGGAGGGACCATCTCTTGCCCCTGCACAAGATTTACTCACTAATTTGAAGGGAGAGGAAGGAGAAGGAAGAGGAGAGGAAATTCACAGGGATTTAGCTGAACCCAGGAGCTGCACTCATGCCTCCAATGAAGTGAGCAAGCGGACACGGCACAGAGGGAGAAAACCCTGGTGTCACCTGTTTCTTCCTTGGTGAGGGTGTCCCCATTCCAGTACTCCCAGGCACTGACCGTGTACACGAGATCATCCTTGTGCAGGACTTCTGAGTCACTTGGAAGCTTTTTCTGGAAAACACGTAACACCGACCGAGCTCACTCAACCTCTTCTCCCCAAATCCACACAGAGGACACGACGAACCCCTCAGCTTCACCCATCTCTCCCAGCACTTCTTTCCTTTTCTACTAAAGCTCAGATTCTTCTTTTTTTCAGTTCTGGGGCCCCAAATGTAAAAAGGACATGGACCTGCTCAAGTGGGTCCAGGGGAGGACACAAAAATGATCAGGGGGTCATGGTTCTTCCCGCTTCTGCAGTGAAGTTGCTCCACATCCTTGCTGGGGCAGGATTCCGCTACTTCCCCATGCACAAACGCCTCTTCTTTTTGAATATAATTCTCCAGCACAGTGATCTGATCTGGGGTCTTATTTTTTTTTTAATTAAGCCAATTCTGAATCAGGAGTCTTCCCCAACACGAGATTAGATCCTACAGTTCTTGCATGTACTGCAGAGGATTAAGCTGGCCATGACAAAGGACATAAATTGGATCCAGCTACAAAAGGGAGAGCTCAGAATAATCAGATTCTGCTCGATAATGACCAGCCTTCATGAAGAATTCATTAACATACTATTATATTGCCATGCAGACGCTCCCTCAGACACAGATCCATGATGGAGGCAAACCCTGACCAGGTTCTCCAAACTAATTTACCTCTAGGTTTTTCTTCATCATTACTCCCTTCTCTTGCTTCACCATCTCATTCCTTTCTAGGATGGCGTCATGTTTATTTATCTGCATTGGGAAGAACAACAGGAATTATTACTGACATTTCCTGACAACCTTAAGTGGATTCCTAGGTTTTTCAGACCAGAAGAAATGCCCAGTACAGATCCACCCTAATACAAGGCAAAGATCTGCACAGACTTTCTGGTGTCTGCGCTAACTCAGGCAGTTCTGTTCAAGTCACGTGATAGCCTGTGCAAAATTCTCCACTTTTCTTAGACGACCTGAAAGGGAGGAAGAGACCAAAATCTGAAAAATACTCACATCGCCTTTCTTTCTTTCCCTGAAAAGATAAAAAACAAACCAGAAATTACACATACAAATGATTTTATCAGGCAACAGTCCTCTGATCCGGTAACGAGAAGGGAGAAGGGACAAGGGAGAAGGGACAAGGGACAAGGGACAAGGGACAAGGGACAAGGACCACGCCAACACACTCCAGGTGAGGCCAGAGCCAGCAGCACCCACCCAGCACCCCACTCCCCTGGAACCCTCGACTTCATTACCACTTGTATTCGTTTAGATCCATCTGATCAGATTTTGTGACCACCAAGGAGATGTCCCTGCACATCCCACCCTGGAAAGCCTTCACAGCCTCTTTCAGCATCATCTCATGGGTTTTTTGTCCCTGAATACGTTCGATGGAGGTGACCACCCAAATGACAGAGCATTTGTTGATGTTCTGCAATGGGAAGAGGAGAAGAAGCTCCAGAAAGAGAAGATATCAATCGTCACTGAAAAATAAATGCCAGAGATGCTGAGCACCTTTAATTCCCAGCAGCTCTGGCTGGAGAAAGAGGACGTACAGTCATAGACTCACAGAATGGTTTGAGTTGGAAGAGACATTAAATATCACCTCATTCCATCCCGTGGGCAGGGACACCTTCCACCAGACCACATTGCTCCAAGCCCCGTCCAACCTGACCTTGAACACTTTCAGGGAAGGGGCTTCCGCAACTTCTCTGGGCAACCTGTGCCAGGGTCTTTGCATCAACCCCATACTCCCCACGGCAGAGCCGTCCCACTCACCTCTTTCCACATCGCATCCCTTTTGCTGCTGACATCACCCGTCCCTGGAATATCCATGAAGACAACACCTTCCGGGACCACTTTCATCTTTGGGACAGTCACTTCCACATTTTTTACTAGAGGCCACAGCTGTGTGTTTCTGTCTTCTTCACTTGTTCCTTCGTTTGCATCACTACAGATGCTCTGAATCCGGATATATGGGTTCATTTTGTCGGAAAGGTCTTCTCCCTGAGACACAGTGGATGAATAAAGAAATATTCCTCCTTAGTGAAGAACCTCAGAGACACAGAAAACCATGATGACCTGTCACGGCTGGTTGGGAGCCCTCAAAACCCCATGGCCTAGGAATGGACACTGTGGGATGGAGAGGAGAAACGATTTCCCAGTGTCACCACTGTTGGGACAAGCCAAGAAGCCCACACTCTTCCCAACATGATGAACCCAATGAGATGCACCAGCTGCAAAGACTGTCCTCACTTCCCGGGGCTGAGGCACAAGCAAAGGGGTTAAGATCCTTGGCTATGTTGGCAAGGACACAAAAGGAGTGGTCACGTTGGCCAGGAAATACACGGGCTCCTCACAGTTGTTGCCTTGATGGTGACACATCTGGAACTGGGAATAGAGACGATGGGTTTCATGCTGCACAGGTCTTCATAACTCTTTCTTTCCGCTTCTTCCCCATAGATAGTAGAGATCTTCAAAACAGCCTCATTTCTTTCGTAGTCATCATCATCCTCATCTGGTTCGGCAAGTGCCACCAGACCCTTCAGCTCCTCCTTCCACTCCTGTCAAGGCAGAGCAGAGGCACAGAAGAGGTGATGGCCTGGGTGCCTGGAGGAGGGAGGGGAAGGTTGTCCTGGGACAACCAGCAGACAGCCACAGCTGAGGGGTCTCGAGCCTCCGGGACAGGAGGGCAAAGAAGAAGTTGCATTGCTTCTTCCCACCTCGCACACCTAAACCAGTGGGAACCAGCGGCAGCGCCCAGCACTCCTCTGGGGACGCTTTGGCTCTCAGGGTGCATCCTGCCCCCATCCCACTTTCCTCCCAGAAGGATGCAGTTCCCTCCGGAGAAGTCAGATAATTCCCCGTAAGGGCAAAAATAGGAATATGAGCCTTGCCTCATCTGTGAGAAGGTGAATTTTTGCCTCGTACTGTCTGCTGAGGCCTGTGCCGACCTGCACCACGCAGGACGTGCAGGCTTTGCTCCCAGACACCGGCAAGAAGAAGTTTTTGTCCATGATGGCATTCAGCAGCGTGCTTTTCCCTGCGCCGGTGCTGCCAAAGACACCGATGTAAATGGGATCCACCACAACGTCTGGCTTCATGCCTGAGAGGCGGTTCCTGAGGATGGAGAGAGAGGGGGGAAAGGACAGTTTTACTGATGGGGGTAGGTTTATGCGTTTCAAAAGGGTGGAATAAAACTCTGTCCCATATTAAAGAGACTTGGAAGGCGAAACTGTGGGATCCTGAACATCCCCAGTGTCCAGTTCAAGGACAGATTCCCAGTGGACACCACATCAGCTTCAGCCTCATCCCAGCACTGGATGAGTTGTCACCATCTATTGGGCAGCAAATCCCACCAGGAGATGGTGTCTCCTGCTCCTGGAGAGCATTTCCAGGGAGCTCTGCAGAGCCAGGACAACCTGTCCCCATGGCCTGAGAAATATCTCCTTGGGCTCAGGGTAGAGAGGACCATTGGATCTGGATGTCCAGGGATGCCCCAATGGCTGTGGTTGCCCCCTGGGCTGCCAAGGAGTGCTGCATCCAGTGACAGAAGGAGTAAACCTTCCTTGAAATTGCTGCGAAGCCTCCCTGCGTGGCAAAAAATCTCCATCAACCGTTTCTGCAATTGAAGGGAAAGACGCCCTTTGGGCACCAACACATCCGACAACTCACTTGAGATATTCGATCGCATTTCTTCTCTCAGGCAGGTTGCTTTTCGAGAGGGATTCCAACAGCTTAATCACAGACTTATCCAGAATGTCCTTTAGCTTATTTTGCACATCCTTATCTGGAGGGAGGGCACAGTCAGAGGGTCAGAGCTGGGGCTGCAGCCCCTCTCTCAGGGAGGCATCTCCCAAGCTGAGCATCTCCAGCAGGCACTGTGGCTTTTCCATACTCACAGTCATTCAGACCCTCTTCCATCCCACCTGCAGCGTTTTGGCCGCTCTTGCGCCCTTTCTTCACGCAAGTCGTAGCTGGTAAATCTGTGCTGCCACCTTTGGAGGTGAAAGGAGTTTTCCCATTAGGGCATCGGGTCATCAGCTCTCTCTGTGACACGGGCTCAGCTTTGCTGCTGGTTGCCCCCGCAGATGGAGCAGTAGCAGCAACACCCACCCTCACCCAGGGCACAGACCCCGTCCCTCAGCAGCGGGGCAGGAGGGTCCTGGGCTGGGGCTGCTGCAGGAGGTGACATCCCTGGAGATGCTCAGAGTGACTCCTGGGGTCTCCTCTCCATCAGGTCACCTCGCAGGGGGTGGCAGGACAGGGCTCCCTGCCTCAGATGTTTGCGGGGTTGGAGGAC